GGATCTGCAACGGGGTACCTGGAGTGAGGAGTGGGGATTGAATGGGGCAAGAGACACAGAGAATGGAGACAAGACAGTCTTCTGATCAAGTCTCATTTATTGATTATTTGCACACAGCTTTTATAGGGAAGAAAAAAGGGGAAGAAGCCGAGTGGGTAAATTCCACTGAGACAGCACATTTGTTCCCAGACAATTGCAGCAGTAGTAAATTCTAAAGTTAGATTACAAGTTACAGTGAGAAACCAACAGTTATACCACAAGACCCCATGGACCTGTAAGATAAGGAAGTTTCCCAGGCATTGCAAATAGCCAGGGCAGAAAAACATGTTTTTCACAAAGCCCTCTGGTTGCAGAAACCCTTTAGTTGCAGTCTAGGCTAGGTCAGAAGTTTAACCTGTCAGCAATTAATTTCACAGACAATGGTTGTTGTTTCTGAGTTGGGGGCCTACGGCTCCCCACAGTCCTTCCATCTTCTGATGTCTTCCTCAATCTCTTTCTTTAAAGATTTGTAATTTTCATTGTAGAGCTCTTTAATGTCTTTGGTCAAGTTTATTCGGAGATATATTATTTTTTTTGCAGCTATTGTGAAAGGTAATGTTGACATGTGCCCTTTCTCCGATTGCTTGTTATTGGTATATAGAAGGGCTACAGACTTTTGTAGGTTAAATTTTAACCCGCCACTTACTGAACGTGTTAATTTCTAGGAGTTTTCTGGTGGAATTTTTGGTGTCTTTTAGATATTATATCACATCGTCTGCAAAAAGGGATAATTTGACCTCTTCTTTTCCAATTATTACTCCTTTAATTTCCTGCTCTTGTCTTACTGCTCTTGCAAGAGCGGCAAGCACTATGTTAAAGAGAAGTGGAGATAGTGGATAGCCTTGTCTGGTTCCTGATTTCAATGGGAATGCTTCCAGTTTTTCTCCATTTAGAATGATGTTGGCTGTGGGTTTGTTATGTGTGGCTTTAATTATGTTGAGGTATGTTCCCTCCAGTCCAATTCTCTCTAGGATTTGGAACATAAATGCATGTTGAATTATGTCAAAGGCCTTCCCTGCACCTATTGAGATGATCATGTGGTTCTTGTCTTTGAGCACATTTATATGATTTATGACGTTTATTGACTTATGTATATTGAACCATCCCCACATCTCTGGGATAAAGCCAACTCTATCATGGTGGATTATCTTTTTGATGTGTGTCTGAATGCGGTTTGCAAGTATCTTGTTGAGAATTTTTGCATCTATGTTCATTAAGGATATGGGTCTATAGTTTTCCTTTTTGGTTGTATCTTTACCTGGCTTTGGTATTAGAGTGATGCTGGCTTCATAGAAGGAATTTGGAAGTTCTCCCTCCATTTCTATCA